TGGTGAGAACAACATTAATACCATGAAAGGCACTTTGAGCAAAAGTCATGTTATCAATATTCCTAGCTAATATCAACCACTAATTTAATCACTATTTGCATTTTCAGATGATTATATCTGCTTCCTAATAAAAGCATTTTCCAATGTAACTGCTATACAGGAAATAATTGTTTTTAAAATGATGACTTCATATTTATTGTCCCATTCAAAAGTTTACTGAACAGCTATTTGATATTCCTCAATTAAGATCTGTACCCCACTCAGTATCCAAGTAGTTTCCCTAGTAAGGGGAACAGGGACTGTCTCTGACATAATCTGATTGGCCTGCTCTTTGATCACCTCCCCCTGAGGGGGGAGCAGCCTTGCCAGGCCACAGAGGAAGACAATGCAGACAGTCCTGCTGAGACCTGATAGGTTAGGGTCAGATGGAAGGGGAGAGTGACTTCCACTATCAGTGGACTTGGGGAATAGTATGGGAGGAGATGAAAAAGGAAGGGGGCTACAGTAGGGATACAAAGTGGATAAACTGTAATTAATATAAAAAATTAAAATTTAATAAAAATGTTTTTAAAAGATCTGTAGCCCATTTTTAATTGAATTATTTTATTTTTTGATGTCTAGTTTCTTGAGTTATTTACATATGTTGGATATTGGACTTCTATCAGATGTGAGGAGGGTAAAAATCATTTCCCATTCTGTAGCCCCTTGCCTACAGAAGCTGTTCAGTGACATGAGGTCTACTTATTAACTGTTGCTCTTAGAGCCTGTGCTGTCCATGTTCCGTTCAGGAAGTTGTCTCCTGTGCCAATGCACTCAAGGCTATCCCCTGCTCTATCTTCTGTCAGGTCCAGTGTGTCTGGTTTTTCATTGAGGTTTTTGATCCACGTGAAGTTGAGCTTTTTTTCATTCTTGTACATGAAGACATCCAATTAGATCAACAGTATTTGTTGAGGATATTTTCTTTTTTCTATTGCATATTTCTAACTTCTTTACAAAAAAATCAGGTGTCCATAGGTGTGTAGATTTATGTCTAGATCCTTGAATCAATTCCATTTATCACTGAGTCTGTTTTTAGGCTAGTACCATGCAGTTTTTGTTACTATAGCTCTGTAGTAGAGCTTGAGATCTGTGGAGGTGACACCTCTGGAAGTTCAATCAGGAATGTCCAGACTGTTTTAACTATCCTGCATTTTTAATTTTTCCATATGAAGCTGAAAATTATCATTTCAAGGTCTATAAAGAATTGCACTGGGATTTTGAAGGGGACTGTGTTGAATCTGAAGATTGTTTTTGGTAAGATGGACATTTGTACTATGTTAATCCTACTCATCCATGCCCATGGGAGATCTTTCCATCTTCTGATGTCTTCTTCAAAGACTTAAAGTTTTTATCACACAAGTCTTTCACCTGCTTAGTTAGAGTCACACCAAGATATTTTACATTATTTGAGTATATTGTGAAGTTTGTTGTCAATTTGTCATTTGTTCATAGGAAAATTACTTATTTTTTTGAGCTGAGAAATGCAAATGAAAACTACTTTGAGATTCCATCTTATACCAGTCAGAATGGATAAGGTAAATAACACAAGTGACAGCTCAAGCTGGAGAGGATGTGGAGCACGGGGAGCACTCCTCCATTGCTGGTGGGAGAGTAAACTTATACAGCCACCATGGAAATCAATATGGCTGTTCCTCAGAAAATTAGGAATATATCTACCTCAAGACCCAGATATACCAATCCTGGGCATATGCCCAAAGGTCACTCCATCCTATCACGAGGTCACTTGCTCGACAGTGCTCACTGGAGCTTTATTCTTAACAGCCAGAAACTGGAAACACATACATGTCCCTCAGCTGAAGAATGGATAAAGAAAATGTGATACAGCTACACAGTGGAGTATTACTCAGCTGGTAAAAAAAAGAAAAAATTATCATGGAATGTGCAGGCAAAAATAGATGCAACGAGAAAAAAGTCATTCTGGGTGAGGTAATCTAGACTCAGAAAGACAAATACAGTCTGTATTCACTCATACGCAGATATTAGCTGTAAAGTAAATGATAACCAAGCCATAATCCAATGACCTAGAGAGGTTAGGTAAAGGGAACGGCTCTAAAGGGATCCACGCATCTCCTGAGGAAGGGGAAATAGATTTTGCAGGTAAACAGTAGGCAGACAGGGAAGGGAGCAGGAGGGTCAGGTTGCGGAGGAATTGGGGGGGGGGGTGCAGGGAGTGACAACAGGACCTGGGGACATTCGGTGGGCGTGTGAGAACCTAGTGCAATGAAAACTTCCGGGGCCTGAGGGTGGCCCTAGTGAGGACTCCAGCCGTGCCATCAGGCTGTACCTGGCTGACTCGTTGGCCTCGGGGCTCCTGTGAAGATCCCTAAACCACCCAGGCTGACGCCAGGGCAGATGATCACTCTGAAAACTGACAGTGGGGCCCTATCGCTGAGGACAACGCCACACAGCACACTGAATGTAGAGTCGAGCTGGTGTCTGCATGGAGGCTTCACCCTCCACCGCAGTCTCTCTGCAGGCTCAGGAAGAGAAACCTGGCCATTAACCCAGCCACAGTTGGTCCTTCCTGCAAGATGTGTGGGGGCAAGGGTGGCTCAGAACTGTGGGAGTGGACAACCAGTGGGAGTGGACAACCATGAGGCCCAGGCCATGAGAGAAAGAAAATTCACTATGCTGCCTGAACATGAAGTGGAGACTGGACAGCCTATGATATGATATGATATGATATGATATGATATGATATGATATGATATGATTGATATGACATGACATGATAGACCTATGATAAAACCAAATGCAACTAAAATGATTCCTAGTGATGTTCTGCTATACGCATCAGTCAGTGCCTTGTCCAGTTATCAACAGAAGCCTTCCGCCAGCAGCTGATGGGAATGCATGTAGAGACCCACAGCCAGACATTAAGCAGAGAGGGAGTATGAACTGGAGGTCTCCATCAGGACCTTCCTAGTTGCTGAGGGAACCCAGTGGAGGAGGGAGAAGGATGGAGAACACCAGGGACTATGGCCCACTGAGTCAACTAAGCAGGGCTCACACCGGTCCACAGAGACTGAAGCCTGCATGGGTTCACAGCAGGTCCTCAGTGCATCTTATGACCATTAGCTTGGTGTTTCTGGGGGGCTCCTAACAGGGGGAAGGGGTGTCTCTGACGCCTTTGCTTGCCCTTAGAAATCTTTTTCTCCTACGGAGTGAAAGTGGATCTAGAGGACAGGGTAGCTGCGGGGAGTGGAGCTGGGAGGAGTAGAGGGACAGAAAACTGTGGCCAGAATGTATTGTATGAGAAAATAATCTATTTTCAATTAAAATAAATAAAAGGGTACTTGCATGCAAAAACAAAGTACTGAACACACATACCTATATTTACTATCTACAAAGTATCCTTTACAAATTGGCATTCCAATTCCTCCTTATAAAAATACATAAATTAGATCAAAGGCAAATGCATTTTGTCACTCAAAACTATGTATTTTAGAGAAAATAGTGTGCTTGACCTGTAAACTGGACTAAGGTGAGCTTATCAGCTCATAAGTAACTAAAAATATTGCTGTCTCTTGTTTACAAATAAAAGCATGTTCTTAAAATGCCAGTTACCAAAAAGTAACTATATAGAGCTACATATTTAAATTATTTAGGAAAAATTGTAATAATTACAGTTTATAATCATAGTTGTAACGAACATTTTGCTTTTGTGGATAACTATAACTTGAATTTACATACATGATCTTGGTTGCTGTAATGAAATAATGATGCTAATATCTGGTACATAATTTGAGTATATGGGTGAGAATATTGAAAAGCGTAAACAAACTCACTGTGGGACCATCAGAGGTGCCCTTCCACCAGGGTGTAAGCCTGGATTTAGTTTGCTGTTTGTGAGGCACATGTGGCTGGCCTAACGGGTGCCACATAGGAGCGGTCGGCTTTGATTTTACTTTTAGCTGAAGGGATTAAAGTTAGGAGACTCAAAGGACTATTTCTAACAGGAACTCAATGACTGGCTCTTTGGCTTCCCCACCCCCCAAGGGAGGAGCAGTCCTGTTAGGCCACAGAGGAGAGCTTTGCAGCCAGTCCTGAAGATACCTGATAAAACAGGATCAGATGAATGGGGAGGAGGTCCCCCCCTATCAGTGGACTTGGCAAGGGGCACGGTGGAGATGAGGGAGGGAGGGAGGGACTGGGAGGGAAAGAGGGATCAGGATACGGCTGGGATACAGAGTTAATAAAATGTAACTGATAAGAAAAAAATAAAATTAAATTAAAAAAATAACTTTTGAAAAAAAAAAAGTTAAGAGACTCCCTGATTATATAAGGCTTCTCTGGATGTGAAAATCTAGTAAACGATATCAAATAAAAATTTTAGATATTTGTAATTTAGAGAATTCTTTATTAATCTTCCCTAATGACTACATGATTAAATAATAGAAACATGATTTTTCTCAAGTAATAAATGTATGTGAAAATAAGCATGTATTTGTACCTAGTTAATATTAAACCATGCAAATCTGATTTTAATATAATGTACATGAAATATAATGAAAATGAAGGAAGGGAAAATAATTGTATTGCCTTTTAAAGTCACATTTGGAAGAGAATAAATATTAATAACTAAATGACACAAGAAAGTCACTCATAAAGTACTGAGAGCAAAACCCTGGGCTCCTGTGTGAACAACACTCTAAGAGAGGAGGGAGGTGGCGGGCTGAGTGTGGCCTCCCCAGCGCTGCTGTGTGCCTGTGTGGAAACAGCAGTCCTGTCAGCCGCTTCCACAGGCCCTGCCTGACAGCCGCCCTTCCCGTCAGCTTTAAACAGCCACCGTGTCAAGAGGACTGATGCCATGTAAAGGAGACTAGCTCACACACTGTAAGCTTAACTGCCGTAATGCTAGCGTTCAAAAAGTAGAGCACACGAATTGATTTTATAGCACACAATCCACAAGCGTTACAAAAGCAGCTCTCCGTACTTACAGCTGGCACTGGTCACCTTTTATCCCTTTGGTTGTGCAGAAGCATTTTCCTGTGTGCACGTGGCAAATGTTTGCGTGGCCGCCGCATGTGCAGGCTGGAAGGCAAAACCAACACAGGTTATCACCGCATTCTGTGAGGCTGTTTCCTCATGTCATGCCATTTTTAGTTCAGGAACCTGAGGTCACCTATGTGAAAACTTGGCAAAACTCTTTAAAATCCCAGAGTCTCCTACATCTACCATTTCTGGAAGTAATGCTCGATTTCTCTGCGTTTCTGTTTGTGATCTGAAACATCAACGATGAAATAAGTGTTTAAAAAGATAGCCGGTGAGCCAGGCATGGTGTGCATGCCTGTAAGCCCACCACTCGGGCGCAGAGGCAGGAGGATCGCTGCGATAGAAATGAAATAACGTGGTCTATGCATACAGATGTCAAAATGAGCTACTCAAGCTAATTTCCCCAAGGTTCAACATTTGTTATCATATTTTTTTTTCTTAAAATGTCCATAGCTATTCTAATACCCATGAGAATTAGCAAATGCAAACAAATGTAACCAGATAAACGCACTGATATCCCAAGGAGTTTCCGAAATAAAACGAGTCTTAAGTATTAGGTACAGGAGCACCCTGGACAGTTTTTAAGGGGGAAAGACAACCAGAGGCTTTCACTGTGGGTTCTGAGCTGGAGTCAGCAGGAAGATGATCTGGTGGCAGCGTGCTGAGGTCAAGAAAGACAATGCAGGCTCCTCCAGTCAACCCAGGCTGCTTAAATTCTAAACAGCACACCTTGCAAGAAGCATTCCAAGGACCTGAAGGGCAGGCTGTGAGCCCAGGAAGAAAGTGGAAGTCACCTCGTCTGGAGAATCACAAGAGGACAGCCTCAGCCCGAGAACAGACAACAGTCACAGCTGTTTGAGCGGTGCGCAGAGGGTGCACAGGAGGGTGTCTCTGAGAGCCCTCGGCCGCAGGCGGTAAACACGCTGCCCAAACACACCGCAGTTTCGCTCCCTGAACCACTGAGAACCAACTGCCATAGAGGCAGCTCATTAAAACAAACTGCTATTTGCTATTTTGAGACAAGAGGATGCAGTGATTCTAACTGTGTCACATGTTCTGAGAAGAAGCTGCTGTTCAACAATGAGTGAGAAGAAATCAAGTTCAAAGGAGAAGTTTTCTAAGGCCACCACCAATCTGTGTGGTGCTTGCACAACTAACCGTTTCACATCTCCCCAAAAGCAAATACTAGCTAAACCTTAGACTCATCAGTTCTCTAGTTTTAAAAGCCAGAATACCTAAGACTTTTTTTTACAACATCTAATTTCCCGTTAGCAAATGAAAATGGCTATGACAAATTCCTAAGAACAGTATAATATAAAGGCACAAAAGGCAAAAAAACAAAACAACAACAACAACAACAACAAAAACCTGCCTTCATTTTAAAAAGAACAGACCCAACACCAAGCAGATCAGGGGAAGTCAGCCTGGTTGAGGCCCAGCTGGACACACTCAAGGTCCTAACGTGAGCAGAGGAGGGAAAGCCCAACTCCCCCTGCAGTGCCCACCCAACCCAGGGTGCCCTCTGCAGCTTCATCAAGAGACCACGTCAAGGCTGTAGGCGGAGGCGAGGTGAGGCGGTGGGTGCATCCCTCCCACCCAGGGCACATCGCAGTGGCACTGCAGAGCTAGTGTCCTGGGTGTCGCGCCCACACTGGACAGTGCCTGGCTCTGGACCACACCAAGCCCAGAACCCGGCTCCCTCCAGGCTTTCTGGGATGCCGTCTAATGAAGTTGCTCTGCTTCTGATCTTTACTCTTTAAACTCCCTCTGAGGCAGCCCCCACCAGTCTCTGTCCATTCACAAAGAGTTACTCCTCCCTGGCTTGCAGAAGCCAATACAGAAAACCTGGGACCAGGCAGGTAGGCTGTGGCCTGGGTTTTATCTCCGTCATCATTTCGGGGAGCATAAACGGCATATAATAATGGTTTTTTTGAAACATACATTTGCTGCTTCCCATTCTTTTGCATCCTTACCAGCACTTTAGACCTCTCAGAACATGTCAATCAGCCTTAGCATTCATCTACCATGTTAATATTTATTTGCTCTTTTTTAGTCCAATTTAATTTATTTTGTAAGATTCTGTTATTAAATTTGATTTAGTTGTAATATGTTCAGGGCACATTGTATGATTTTGTGGAGAGGAGCTTTTAAATAAGTACATAAAGGTTCGCATTTTTCTGTTTTGTGCATGTTTGAAATTTTCACAAAATTTATTTAAAGAACAATTCATGGCTGACTACATTAACATTGGTAACAAGAGTGGGCAGGGCCTAAGGCAACCGTGAGATCTAGACACAAAGCCACCAGTGACCTCTCCCAGATCAATAGTAAAAGCTGTACTATTTGTACAACTGTTGAAAGTGAACAAATCCTTTGCACACACCAAAAGAGAGAGAAGGTAAAACTGAGACAGTGAGCATATACAAGCGATTCAGTATCTTTAGCACCTATGCAACATTAAACACAAGCATGGCCCTAAGGTACCAGATCAAATGGTAAACACATGTTTAAATAGCGCAAATGTAAAAACTGGCAGGACTGTCTTAACACTAATAAGAAAAAACCAAAATGATCATAAATTGCTGACAGGAGTCTACAATGGAGCAATCATTTTGAAACTATTTTGACAATTTCACTAAAGGCCAAAAATTCACTGATACTACCCAGAAATTTCACATTTATCAAAATGTGAAACATATATGCATATATGTTTACAGAACTAAATCACTACTTACTAAAAATGTGGAAAATACCAGGTGGCTCCCCATACATTCTGAGTTAAAAACCTTGTGGTGTGAACATACAAGAGATTACTCCTCAGTAATAAAAGAGACAATTTGTTAAAATGTAAATTTAAAAAAAAAAAAAAACACTGAGAACTACCAAGAAATAATGTTCTCATTACATGACTCTGAATATGCGAAACTTTAAAGTAACAAACACAACCTAAGACAAAAGTCCACTGATACACAGCTGACAGGCCTAACTTGCTTTTTGTTGCTGTGATAAAACAGAGGCCAAAGTCAGCTTGGGGGGAATGGTTTCCTCGACTTAAGGTCACACTGCATTATCAAGAGGTCAGGGCAAGAGCTCAAGGCAGGAACCTGGAGGCTGGAGCTGGACAGACACCACGGGGGCATTGCTGCTGGCAGTCATACTCTGTCACTGTTCCTGGACAGCCTGGCCGCCTGCCCAGGGATGGCACCGCCAAACATCGAGAAATCCACTGTGACGTGTGGATGCATTTCGTCATTTAATTTGGACGTCTTTTCCAAAGTGGCCATAAACGTCAAAGTCTCAGGTTGGACTTAGGATTACGGCAAACTTCTGAATGTGGTGGTGAGTGCCCGGACAGGGTTCTCAGTGTTCCCACACTGAACCCTTGAATGCAGTTCCTCGTATGCGGTGACCACAACCGGAACATCATTTCCCTTGTTACTTCATAACTCTAATTTTGCTCCTGTAATGAATCGTATGGATGTTTCTGAAGACAGAGGTTTGCGAGAGGGATCACAGCCCCCAGGGTGAGAGCCCTGTTCTGGAATCTCAGCGCCATGGAGTGAGACACGTCACATTTTCAGTGACAAAGGCCTGAGGACTGTTCTGTTATATATATACAACACAACTTCTTTGCCCATCCAATAGCTCAGAAACACACCGGTGAATTCCACTTCCTGGCGAGTGTAAATAATGGTTCTATAACTGCTTGAGTGCACCCGTCCCTGAGGCACACCGCTGTCGTTTTGTGTGTAACTCCGCAGCAGTTCTGTCAGATGGTGATGAAAGCCCTGTCTTTAGTCTGGGGAGACTCTCTATGCCACTCTCAACAACGGCGACACTGGTTTGCATTATCACCACCAATAACCACAACAGTCACCACCAGCGCTGCCACTAACAGTCCGTACCTCTGAACTAAAGTCACAGACAAGGATGTCGCAGTTGGGACAGAGGCAGCCACAGAACAGTAAGAGACTACTCTCTCAGTCACTATGATGGAAATGAGACTTGTTTTTTCTAACTTTTAAAGCAGTAGTTTTAGCTAACAACAACGGAAGTGACATAACTCTAACTTTACAGAAATAAAAGACAAAAGAGCATTGTGAAAAAGTGGATACAGAAACGCAGAGCACAGATTAACTGAAAACATTTCTAAAAAGATATAAGCTTTATAACAGACTAGTAAAGAAACAAACAAAATAGTTCAGTAGTTCCTTCATAATAATTAGTGTAATTAAAAGGTGTTACAAAGAGAAGCTTAGATAGAAACAACAAAAAATTACACCCAATACTGCTAATGCCAAATCTTCACAAACTTGACAAATTGAAAAAATAAAAGATAAAAGATATTACCTTGAAACACAAATGAAAGACCACAAGAAAATGCAACTATAGATAATACATCTTATGAGTATATATGCAGAAAAACTAAAAACATTGAAACAGACATTTAGGAACATGTGAAAGGATAGTCCCACACAACTGCAAGAGGGTTACATCAAGAAAGAAAGATGGCTGAGTGTCCACATGTCAGTGCCCGTTCCCTCGCATTAACAAAAGGACAGGCCAAGAAAAAACAGGATCAATTCAGTAAATTCAGAAACATCATTTGACAAAACCTAACATTCTTTCATGATTAATGGCACATGCTTTAATCACAACACTTCTGAAACACGGGGACAGACACTTATGAGTCTAAGGCCATCCTGGTCTACACAGCAAGTCCTAGCCCAGGCTAGCCAATGTCTCGCAGTGAGACTCTTGTCAAAACAAAACACCTCAGCCCTAACTGGACATCATTTCCATACCACACCCCGGTAAAGGCACGGGGTTCATGAGGAGAGACTATAAAAGCAAGAGGATGTGTGGGGCTGCTGCAAAGCAGCGTCCTCGAATCCTGACAGGAACATCGCACACATGGAGTCACACGCTGTGACTGCACACACGTGATCTGCACAAGATCAAAGCAGCCAAACTGCCAGGACAGAGGAGGTCACGCGGTCCCCGGGCCAGCCAAGAAGTGACAGAGGAGCTCATGCGGT